TGACCTGGCTGAAGTCGGACGCTTAACCGACTGCGCCACCCAGGCGCCCCTCTAATCCTTTTAAAAAAAATGTTTATTTATTTTTGAGAGAGAGAGAGTGAGAGGGGGAGGTGCAGAGAAATAGAGGGATAGAGGATCAGAAGCCAGCTCTGTGTTGACAGCAGGCAGCCCGATGTAAGGCTCGTACTCACAAATCGTGAGGTCATGACCTGAGCTGAAGCCGGATGCTCAACCGACTGAGCCACTCAGGTGCTCCTGTGGTCTGTTTTTTGCCAACTTTGCCATCCATGCAGGGCTTGATCCCACGAACTGTGAGATCATGACCTGAGCCGAGGTCAAGAGTTGGTTGCTTAACGGACTGAGCTACCCAGGCACCCCTCCTTTGTTAATACTAGCTAAGTGACCTTGGGCAAATTATTTAATTTCTCTGGAACCTTGGTTTACTCCTCTGTGAAATGAGAATAATAAATTACCTACCTCAGAGAGTTTGGAAATAGTGTCAATAAAGAGCATGGCATTTTGCTGAGTACTTAATATACGTTCAATAAATGTTAGCTATTGTTAGCCATTATACAGTTTTGTAAATCTTGTAGTTGAATCAGATAACCTTGGCAGATTACTTACTGCTGCATTATTCCTCACTAACCTACTCTGAAAGTGTTCATGGTCAGAAATTAAAATGACAGGCATACTGAACATGCTATATGTATATGAATGCTGAATTTTACTGACAATATAAAAAAAAACCCACTGTATTTGATTAAGTATTTTTAATTTTAAAATTTTATTTGATTTAACTCACATGAATTCCAAGGCAGAAAAGTGCAAATAAAGGCTAGAATTAGAAGAATAAATCAATGGCCATTATATAATTGACCTCTTCATATATAATGGCAAAAAAGCATCATCACTGAGTATCTACTTGTGTTAGAAGTCTATTAAGAAAAATACCTACTCGATTCTGGCTCCACCACCATGTGTCAGCCACCTGAGGTATTAAAGGTTGGGTGTAGAATAAAGCATGCAAGATGGGGGAATAAAAACTAGACAGACAGAAAGAAAAAAAATCTACTCTACCACATTATAACATCTTGAAGATATCTTCATTGTCTCTTGGGATTGGCAAAGAGTGAATAAAGATGTCAGAAGAAAGAGTAACTAAAAAAACTTAAAAAAAATTTAATGTTTATTCATTTTTGAGAGACAGAGACAGAGCACGAGTGGGGAAGGAGCAGAGAGAGAGGGAGACACAGAATCTGAAGTAGGCTCCAGGCTCTGAGCTGTCAGCACAGAGCCTGATGCGGGACTCGAACTCACTGACTGTGAGATTGTGACCTGAGCTGAAGTCAGATGCCCAACCGACTGAGCCACCCAGGTGCTCCAAGAAACTTTTAAAGATGTTAAAATTTTTCAAATTAGGGGCGCATGGGTGGCTCAGTTGGTTAAGCGTCGGACTTCAGCTCGGGTCACGATCTCGCGGTCCGCAAGTTGGAGCCCCACGTCGGGCTCTGGGCTGATGGCTCAGAGCCTGGAGCATGCTTCTGATTCTGTGTTTCCCTCTCTCTCTGCCCCTCCCCCGTTCATGCTGTGTCTCTCTCTGTCTCAAAAATAAATAAACACGTTAAAAAAAATTAAAAAAAAATTAAAAAAAATTATTTTCAAAATAGTTCAAATTTTGGTGTCTTCAGTTTCAAAATTTCAATGTCAAGTACTAATCTTGGTAGCAAGAAGCTTTATAAACTCTATTTTACATACATTACTGTATTTTATACTTTTAATATTTTTAACACTGAGGAATGAAAAACAAAACAAAAGTCTCCTCTACTCCAACATGTTTAAAAAATGTTCATATGGTAACTTAAGGGAAATATCAAGTTGGGAAACAAGCATTCAGTGAAGTTAAACAAATATTTATTTTGGGATATGGAAGATACCCTGCTAAGTGTCCGAAGTATGTGAGAGAAAACCGAATAGTCAGATTTGCTAGAGAAAACATATAGGATAACCTATTTATAATTTTTGAAAAGAATCAACTTGGTACCTTTCATGGCCTCTTCAAAAGAGCAAGGTCTTGAAGGACTAGATATTTCTTTCTTCACATTTACATTCAAAGCACCAGCTGCTGCTATTAAAGCAAAACAAAACAAAAAGATTGATGTATTTATTTGAATTTGTACATAAAAAGATGTGTATCTTAAAATTCTTTCATCAGAGTATTTCCCACAAGACATTATTAAATCATTTGTTTAGCAGAAAATCCAGGCAGAGAGGAGTTTTTAGAACCATCAATCTATGCTCTAAAATTCACCAACCGAGTGGGCAGCAGCACATGCTCACTTATCAAAACAAAAGCAACGGTAACTTTAAAAAATCCTTCTTGTAACAGTATTCATATTAAGGATAACTGATGAGAAGACTGATATGAAACTTTTTAAGCTGATCAAATATACTGTAACACTAGCATAAAAAAAATTCACCATTCATCCACCTAAATGATTTGTTAAAAAAAATATATCGATTGAGAAACATTAGTCAATTAATTGAACTAAATTTTTAAAAACCTGTAATGAGCATAAAGAATCTAGAGGGGCACCTGGGTGGTTCAGTCGGTTAAGCATCCGACTTCAGCTCAGGTCACGATCTCACAGTCCGTGAGTTCGAGCCCCGCGTCGGGCTCTGGGCTGATGGCTCAGAGCCTGGAGCCTGTTTCCGATTCTGTGTCTCCCTCTCTCTCTGCCCCTCCCCCGTTCATGCTCTGTCTCTCTCTGTCTCAAAAATAAATAAACGTTAAAACAAAAATTAAAAAAAAAAAAAGAATCTAGAGCATTATGATTATTCCTTTTGTAAAGCCTTGGAAAAATCCCTTGTGCACTGTTAATGGTGAATTGCTCAACTATTATTACATCAAGTCATATCAACTATATCTACTATGGCAACCTAAAAATTTTTTTTTACGTTTATTTATTTTTGAGAGAGAGAGAGAGAGAGTGCAAGCAGGGGCAGGGCACAGAGACACAGGGAGACACAGAATCTGAAGCAGGCTCCAGGCTCCGAGCTGTCAGCACAGAACCCGATGTGGGGCTCAAACTCACAACTGTGAGATCATGACCTGAACCGAAGTCAGACAGACACTCAATCAATTGAGCCACCCAGATGCCCTGGCAACTTTAAATTTAATGGGCCTAAGAACAGAGTTCAGTTCTGAAATGATAAAGTTGAATAAATTCCGGGATCTCACTTAAAATGATTATACAATAATTTTATTAAAATTTTCAATTTCTATATTTCTATGTATTTATTTTATATCCCCTAATTCATTTAGAATGGGAATTGAGTCACCTTATTTACAATTTATGTTTTTAAAGTTTATTTGCCTATTTTGAGAGAGAAAGAGAAAGTGCAAAAACATGCAGGAGGGGCAGAGAGAGAATCCAAAGGAGGATGCACTGACAGTGCAAAGCCCAACATGGGGCTCGAACTCACAAACCATGAGAGCATGACCATGAGAGCATGACCTGAGCAGAAACCAAGAGTCAGTTGCTTAACTGACTGAGCCACCCAGGCACCCCACAATTTATTTTTGACATGACAATGTGAAATGATATTTATAAAGATACTATAAAGAGCTAGTCAATTGTGGATAAAGAGACAAAATGTACACATCTAAGAATGAACTTAAATAATTTATTGTGCTACACAGAAGGTCCAACAAATGATATACAGGGAGTTGAATGGAAAAGGAATCCATAGACAGTTTTAATTATTTATTTTTAAAGATTTTGTTTTAATTTTTTAGTTTTTTAGATTTCATATTTTTAAGTAATCTCTACACCCAACATGGGGCTTGAACTCACAACCCTGAGATCAAGAGTTGCATGCTCTTCCAACAGTCAGCCAGATGTCCCTCTAGACATTAAAAAAATTTTTTTTAATGTTTATCTATTTTTGAGAGAGAGAGAGAGAGAGAGAGAGAGAGAGAGCAAGTGGTGGAGGGGGTAGAGAGAGAGAGGGAGACACAGAATCTGAAGTGGGCTCCAGGCTCTGAGCTGTCAGCACAGAGCCCAACGAGGGGCTTGAACTCACAAACTGCAAGACCATCATCTGAGCTGAAGTCCGATGTTTAACTGACTGAGTCATGCAGATGTCCTGACTTCTAGATAGTTTTAAAGCATAACATTAATTCTAACAATTACAGATTTTAAAATAGAAAATAATCTTTGAAACCACTTTAAATTTCTACTTTTATTTATTTTTATTTTTTATTATTTAAATTTTAAGTAGGCTCCACACACAAGGTGGGGCTCAAACTCATAACCCCTGAGATCAAGAGTTGCATGCTCTACCGACTGAGCTGGCCAGGTACCCCTTAAATTTCTATTTTTATTTTTTTTAATTTTTATTTAATTTTGTTTTGAGAGAGAGAGAGACAGAACATGATCAGGGGAGGGGCAGAGAATCCCAAGCGGGCTCTGCACGGTCAGTGTGTAGCCTGATGTGGGGCTTGACCTCACGAACTATGAGATCATGACCTGAGCCAAAATCAAGAGTTAGATGCTTAACCGACTGGGCCACCCAGGTGCCTCTTAAATGTCTTCTTTTGAAATTAAGTTTTAGTCATTTGTTGTTAGAGTAACAAAACGATGAACAAATGTTATGTCCTTCATTTCGTACAGAAATCACCACTGCTGAGTCACTACAAAATTAACCTAATGTGATTTATGTGTCATAATAGACTGAAGTAAAAGCTTTGGTGACTAACTGGCAATAAAACAAAGGTTTTATGACCCTGCAAAGTATCTAAATGTTTGAGAACATGCACATGCAATGCCCCTTTTTAGCAGTAATAGATTCAGAGGGCTTTAGAAGGGCTTGTGTCTGAAAGAGTGTGCAAAGCCAGTTTATGTTCACTTGAGCCCTTGTCCAATCCTACTTTTAGACCTTGTACCAAGTACCCATGATATCCACTTTTTCTGCAAAACTATTCTAGACTATGTGTGGAGTCTTAGACCTACGTAATGGACAAAGCTTGGAAGCACTGGTTGGTGCATTAAGGTCCTCTAGGTATAGCATGGAGCTAGGAAAGGGAAAGGCAGTTGACAGGCTGGGTATTCTCTTTCCTCTTGTTGCCACATCCAGCTTGGAACTCCCAAGGCATTATGATAATCCTAAATCTGGCCTTCCAGGTTGATAAGAAAGTATCTTGGTCAAATCAGGAGAATAGGATATATTTAATTAGCCAGTTTATTTATAACTTTTAAATATTTAGACAAATAGTATAATAGTCGCCATTTCTACTCTGACTTGTGAATATTAGGGTAGGCCTAGTTTTTCCTCTTATAATTATACACCACTGAATATTCAAATATTTAACCACAGTCCTCAGATGAATCACAACAGCAACTGGATGATCACAATGAGGTAGTGCAAATTTTCTATAACCAAGCTTTCCTGAAATCATATTCTCTCTCACATAAACCTGAAAAGATTATCACATTTTATAAAATACAAAAAAGTGAAATTATGGGAAGATTCTTTGATTAGCTATATCATAAAGGCAGAAACTGAAGCATTACATCTTATTACAAAGTTTGCATACTACTTATTTATTCAATTAAGAGTTTCTGAGAGTGAATGCTATCTACAGAATATAAAATATGAAGAGAAAAACTTAAAAGAATAAACATATGTTAATGATTGCCTAAATGTGGCCAAAGATAGTCAATTAGTATAGGCTATAAAGCAGAGGACTTAAAAGCTGTTTTATCTGGCAATCTATCAAAGGGAAATTTCTTTCTTTTTTTTTTTTTTTTGAAAAATTTTTTTTTCAACATTTATTTATTTTTGGGACAGAGAGAGACAGAGCATGAATGGGGGAGGGGCAGAGAGAGAAGGAGACACAGAATCGGAAACAGGCTCCAGGCTCTGAGCCATCAGCCCAGAGCCTGACGCGGGGCTCGAACTCACGGACCGCGAGATCGTGACCTGGCTGAAGTCGGACGCTTAACCGACTGCGCCACCCAGGCGCCCAATTTCTTTCTTTTTTTTAAGTTTATTTATTTTTGAGAGAGAGAGAGAGAGGATGTCCACAGGGGAGGGGCAGAAAGAGGGAGAGAGCAAGAATCCTAAGCAGCCTCTGTGCTGTCAGCACAGAGCCTGATGCGGGGCTCGAATTCCTGAACCGTGAGATCATGACCTGAGCCAAAATCAAGAGTCGGATGCTTAATCCACTAAGCCACCCAGGTGCCCTGGGAAATTTCTAGCAATCAGCATTTATCACTAAGAAATGAAGATTCTTAGTGCTGACTCTAAGCACTTTAAAGTCCTGATGTTCTTCATCAGTAATCAATAAAAACAAACAAATGACAACAAAACCTCAGGACTGCAAAATCTTTCAGGCTACCCTGACCACATACATACACTTCTTTCTTCCCTTCCCACACAAATGACACACAAGTTCATTAGGAAGAACGTTCTGTACCAATTATGCCAGCTTTTGCTGCATGGGTAAGCTCCTCTTCACATAAAATATTAAATGCCACTATTTAGTAATTAGCATTTAGTAAAATGTGTTAACTACCATTATTTTTAAATAAAACTTTCTTGGATTTTTGAGACCTTCCTAGAAAGAGAACAATTAAATATGTGGTCTGAGTATCTTCTCTTTCCTGTTTTTGTTGAAACCAATATATTATTTCTAAACTTTGCCTTTTTCTGTCTGAAAATTTTACTGCTGATCTTTTATTCTAACACAACTATTAACTTCATTAATATTATATATACTGTGGCATACTTTTGTAGCAGACTGGTGCATAATAAGCAATGCTGTGAAATCTAGACATATTTTTTAAAAGGGAGACACATTAAGTGAGAGAAAGTATTATCAAGACTAGTTACAACTCTGCCCTAGCTACTGTTTCCATTACTTTTTCTTGCCAGGGCTTTCTTTCCCCACCACCTTTATTCACTTTGTACCTCACTGAATCCTGAAGTATTTGGGAATAACATAAACAATAAACTTTTAAATATGGAAGAACTGCTAATTCTGACGTATGCCTGAGACTGGAACGAACTGAAGCAATGGTAAACATGGCAGAAATCAAGCCTAGGTCAACGGAACATGTGAAGAATTTTAATTAGCAAATTAAACTTTCCAAACTGTTCTCCCTACTTTTGCTAGGAAAAGGCTTCTCTTCTTCAGGCAACTAAATCAATGCAGGCAAAAAATTCCTAAGAGGGGCATGTGAGTGGCGCAGTTGGTTAAGAGTCCAACTTTGGCTCAGGTCATGATATCACAGTTCATGAGATCTCACAGTTCACAGTGCACTGGTCTGCTGTCAGTGCAGACCCGCTTCTGATCCTGTGTCCCCCTCTCCTTCTGCCCCTCCCCTGCTCTCTCTCTCAAAACTAAATAACCACTGAAAAAAAATTCTTAAGACACTTCTTACCCAGAGATCTTCTAACCTTTTAGGATTTCAATTGCTTTTATTGCTCTGGTTTCTAAAGCAACTATTTTACCTAAGTTCTTAAAATTATATTTAAAATACTTATTAACCAGCAGTCTTTGATATTTTTGACAACACAAATTAGAAAATGTTACAGGCATATAACTCTATTCGTGATTTTATCATTTATCAATCCAAGCCTATCTCTCACTTCTCCCGAAATGCATCCTATAAGCCAGACTGAGACTAAACTATTAGCAGTTACCCAAAGTTGTCACTTTGACCTTTCTGCACATAAAAGGTCCTTAATGAATGGCACTTATTACTAAGGAGTAATTTGTATGATATAATTTTGAAGAGTAGGACTTGAGAGCATTCCTAGCTTTTCTTTAACCAGGACAGCACAAGGCAAAATGACACCCTAGATGTAAGAGCAAAAGCAGTATTTGGTGGCTATCTTCTTAGGAAATAATGCCCTTAGTATCAACTCATCTTAGCATACAACTTTTTCATTTTGCTTGGCTGGACTTCAATTGCTTCCAAAGAACTAGAAATTAATTATTGGTTTTAGATCAGAATTCTTTATTTTGACATACCTGGGTCTGGAGTGTAAGTGAATGGCTGAACATCATGAGATCTTCCAGCATTGGTCACTACATATATTCCCACGGATACTGGCAAAGTTATATGTTGGTCATGATATGGGGGAACCTTTACAATAAGATGATTCTAAATTTAAAGGAAATAACAAGAGTCAAAAAGAAGCAATATTTAAATTAAAATTTTGAAATAAAAATTATAATTAAGTAGATTTCCTTTTAGCAGCAAAGTGTAAAGAGTCTGACTAGGGAAAAAATGTATTTTAAAGCTCAGATTCACAGGCATCAGGACATTAATCTTAAAATTGCCTTTAATGTTTTACAGTGGCTTACAAGGTGCTTTTCCTGTCAACTGTATCTCTTTTCCATTCTCCCCCAGCTTGTTACACTCTGGCTACACTGACCTTCTTAGTCCATTCTTTTAACATACTAAATTCATTTTTTTACCTGACAGGCTTTACAACTTGCTGGTCTCTCCCACTGGAATATTCTTCCTTCACCTCTTCAAATGTCTAGTTCCTTATCCATTGTCAGGTCTTATTCAAATGTTACCTCCACAGAGAAGTCTTCTGTGACCATCCTATCTAAAGTAGCACCCTTCCCAACCTGGTCACATAATCTTGTTTATTTCTAAAATAGCATTTAGCACCACTTGAAATTACTGTAGTTATTTGCTTGTTTTTTGTCTCTCTCCAATCACAAGAATGTAAGCTCCATAAGAACCTAGGATGTTTTCTTTTTCATTCTATATCCACTATTAAGTATCTTATACAAAATACATGCAAATATATTTGTTGAATAAAAGAATGAATATAATTTTAAGGGAAAAATATGTCCACCAAGCACAATGTTAGTTATCATATGTTTTGGACAACATTAATTGTGAAATGTACTTTACAATGCAATTTACACTACTTCCTAACCATGTTAATTTTCATTTAAAGTCAAATAGAGCAAATCAAAGTTATTTTTTGTCAGAATAGTGGCAGAAGCATCCTTATAAGAAAAAAGTTCATAAATGCTTCACCAGCACTCATTCAAGGGGACTGCATCTTCTTGGAAGATAACCATGAACCATATCTGACTTATGCCCTTCTTCCCCAGTACATTACAGAACTGGGAAGGAATATTAAGGGGTAATGATTATGTTTTTCTACTAGGATGTGATATGTAGGAGGCCAATACTGACAACTGAAGGTGATGTGAGTTTGATGACATATGTTATTTAGCTAGACTATAGTTGGTTGATTCAGATGAATAGATCAAATGACAAGTGGGATCAAGGTCAAGGTTTCAATTTCTGAGCACTTACTTTGTTTCTAAGCTATCTTAAGACACTATGAAATAGTCAAAACAGCTTCTGATTTATGGCAGTTAGGCTTCTTAAGCCCAGTTAGCCATCTCAAAAACAAAACAAAACAAAACAAAACAAAACAAAACAAAACAAAACAAAA